CACATTCACAGCACAGATCAAAGCTCCCTAAAAGACACTGAAGTAAATGTGGAGGACAAGGAGACCATTCCAGGAGACAAAGCTGCTGATCCCAACACACGCAGAGAACACATCTAGAACGAGCACACTCAGATGCCAAATGATCAAAAATTTGGAATAAACTTAAAATATACAGAACATCTCTATTGTTCTTTGTAATCGGTTTGGACATGCTGGTCCACACAGTAGCACAGGGCAGAGATTTCAGAGTTCTAACAATGGCTCAATGCGCAGTGCATAGCCCCTGCACTCTACTCACACGGTCCAGCAGCAAACAACATCCAATGGAACTAAAAAATGCAGGGAATCGCAGAAACTCAAAGCTGGTTATTTTCAGAAAATCAGACACAGCGATCTCTAGAAAATCAGTTAAAGTCCCAAAGCAATGTTTATTTGTTAACACTATAAAGGAATAAGGGAGCACATGGAAGGATGCAGAGATGTTAAGGTAGAAGGTTTGGATCATATCTACCCAGCCTGCCCCTAAGGAAATTATCCTTCTTGTAAGTGGCAAAAAGGAAGTGGAGGAGAATGAGTAAAAGCTCTAAAAACTGGAGAGGTTGGAAAACATGCATCATGTCACCCAGACATGATTTATTTATTTTCATATCTCTAGGTTCTAAATGTCTTTGCCACATACTAGATGCTCAACCCATTTACCGAAAGAAAGAAAGGAGTTGAACTAACAATGGTGAAGTTCTGTGCTTCACCAGGTGGGTCTAAGAGAAATAAGTGTGTCACTGAGACGCCATCTCCGTTCATGGAATTGAAGAAGAAAGGGCAGCTAGCAAAGTGGTTGCTCTGTTCTCATGGACTGGAGCTGGGGGCAGGGCTGACTCTGAATTGTTCACTGGGTCCTTCCTGTCTGAGAACCAATATGCCATATCACCAACCCTAAAATAGGAACCAGGTCAGTCATGGTCCTGTAGGATGCCCTCAGCAGCATTCATTCACTCCGAGCTTCAGCAGTGGGAGGGAAGGATGTGCAACATCTGAGAGGATCCTGACCTGTGACCAGGAACTGGGAGCTATAGATCTGCGGCCGTGTCATTCAATACAGACTTATGAAATGCCTAGCATTGTTCTCTGTGTTCATCCAGCGTCATCTGCAGCAGCCAGCAAATTAATTTTCAGACTTGAGAGGCTGGTTCCTGTCTTTTCTGCAAGACTATAGTGCCTGAGAGTCATGCCTCCCCCTTAATTCTTCCAGTAACTTCCAGACCTTCTTTCCCTCCTGGTTGGCCCTCGTTCTCTAGCTTCATCTCCTCAGCCTTTTTAATGACAGCTTCCTCCACGACCAGTCACACAAGCATTCCCAGGAAACCATTGTCTCCCCGGTAAAGCCCACTGGCGCTGGCACCTTAAATACACTGGCTCCCAAACCTTTGGCACTTCAGTCCCAACTGAGGAGCAGCCAGCCCACTGACATGCTTCTATCCCCCACAAGCACCTCAAAATGAGATTGTGTAAAATGGAAATTTCCTTCCTACTCAAAGCTGTACTCTTCATTTCCTAGTTCGATAAACTGCCTTCCTTTCATAAGCCAATTTCCCTTGTCCTCTTCCAAACTTATCAATGAGCCAGTGCCCAATGGAACAGCTCCCACTTCCACCCATCTTCTCTTCACTACTTTACTCAGGACCCTACCCCTTAGTGACTCCGCCCTGCTTCTCCTTTGGCCATGTGTGCTTGCTTCCTCATCCTGGTAATCTGCAGACATGTAGATTTCTCCATTCTAGACTATGATTTCGGGTAGGGAAACCTTGTCTCTTTTCCCATTTTCTCCTTTATTTCCTGTGGTAGTGCTATGCTTTGCCTGCCACAACTGCTTAATAAATTGACTTCGGCATTGGGAGTGAATTACCTTAAAATGACACTTATTCCCAGAGGGAGAAACCCATCAGATAATTAAATATTTACTCTCACTTCCTCCATCCCAATTAACAATGTTATCTGTACACACAAACCATGCACACAGACATGTGTACACATGGTATGCCCTAGCTACCTTAAGTCAATCTTCTGGCAAACACAAAGAGAGGACCAACCTCACAAATAATTAAAACATAAACTGGGTCGTATATTTACTCCTGGTCTTCCTTGAGAAAATTGACATGATGCTTAATGGCAAAATGAAATTTTATTTTGCAAATCCATATCCATGAAATGCCACCAAGAGTGGGTCATGTGTCTTTCTTTTCTGCATTTTGATCCCATTGCTATGACTTAGTGTGGTAATTATATTACAAAGCCATTATCTGATGAAATGAAAATGGCAAAACAATTTAAATGCTTGTCTAAAGAGATGCTGTTAGAATGCAATTATGAGTGAAATTACAATGGCAAAATAATTGACATGCAAGTCTGGAAGGCAGAGTTACGAAACCATTAAAATGCTTCTGTTGGGGACTCACACCCTTGAGGGACAAATTCTCCCGAGGACACAGTTTCAATTCACTACAGCAGGCAACAGTTATGGACAGATGGAAAAACATGGGCTCCTGTTGTTCTGTGGTGTTAGCTACACTTCTGAATGCCACCTGCAGGGTATCTTGTTTTTAGGTGCTGGCTTAGTGGATAGACTGATAAGAGGACCCCTACAACTGCTGTGCTTCCATTTAGCACAAAGGAAATAAAGGCAGGAGGACAAGTCTGGCAAAGGCTTTTCTGTAATGTCGCCAAGAAAAAAAAGCCAGAGTCAAACATGAAAAGGTTTTTATTCCAAAATTACACCCGCAATGATTAAATACCTGTGTGGCTGCATTTCTAAGGATTTACCCTCTTAAAACATTTCATTGATATATTCCTTTGGCAAATTCTTAAAATTTTTCCTAAAAATTTTTACACTGCTATACTTGACCACCAAAGGATCAGAAAATAAACAAAACAAAATACAATGCCAGATACAAAAGAGATCTGCTGTATGAACCAGTTTGATGAATGGCTGAGCTTTCTCCCCCTGAAGCATGGTGAGGTCTGCATTTTGATGGTTGAACACATACATGAATCTATCAGCAAAAATATGCAGGCTTTGCCAGGCACTAGCATCCCACGACCCTTCACAATCTGCTTTCGTGGGTTCATTCCTTTCAGTCAAATAGAAAGAACCAAATACCAAGAGAGAAGATTATTTAAAAACAAGAACTAAAGGAATAAAATGATGCCAATCCTTCTCTCATTCATAATTTTCTCTCCTGTATGTCAGAGAAAATTTATTAAATGTTAGAGACATTTAATCACACAATATTTCTTTGCACCAATGATTAGGACATTGTTTAATAAAATGACTAAATTTCCACACAAAGAATTACATCAGCTTCCTGTTTTACCAGCTTGGTACAAAGAAGTCCCTTGGAAAATATAGACACTAGGCTATAAATATAGACGCTAGTTTTATAAACTCTGAATAATGTAAAAATTTCATTCACACAAACATGTTTTTGAGGCAGAATTTTAAGAGGGGCCTGAAAGTCCTCCTGGCTTAATGTAGCAACTATTTGAAATGGATCCTTGGACTGTCAGTGACATTCCACTCTGTGTTTCTCCACCTTCTCTCTCTTCACACAAATTCTTTTACTTTAAAAGTTTATTTTTATTTTTATTTTATGTGTATGAGTGTTCTGGTGCCCATGGAAGCCAGACGAGGGCATCAGCTCTTTTGGAACTGAAGTCACTGACAGCTGTAAACTCCCACGTCAGTGCTGGAAACCCAATCTAGATCTTTGCAAGATGAGTAAACACTCTTAACCCTGAGCCATCCCTTCAGTCCTTCTTTGCATAAATTCATGAGTTTTAACTACAGCACTGTAAGAATAAAAATCTTGTATGCATGGCAAATTGAACATAAAAGTCAAATCTTTTGTCTTGATACTTTATGGAGCTCATATTTTCAACATAGAATTTAAATATTAATAATTTTGAGATAGACTTAAGTCATATTAGGAAATAAAGGTTTTCAAGTTTAGACACAAAGGTGCAAGTCTTGAAAAAACTATTAAATTACCTGTAAAACATTCTATATATAAAGTTAATTTAAAAAAATAAGCAAACATTCCCATAGATTAGAGAAAAAATAAAAATGAGCAGTGTTCTAAAAATATTTAAATGACAGTATTATATGTAAAATCTGAAATCAACATTCATTAACATTTTATAGAATGAACCTCACTGACATTTAGAAAGGTGTTAAATAAATTTCCTATAAAGATACTGGAGCCTGAACCCAGAGTCCTGCACATGCTTGGCCATCCCAAGCTCTACCTTTGGAAGTTAGTGAAGGAGAAACCAATGCAAATCTATCTGTGCCAAATACCAGTGTGACACACAATGATGTTTTGGCTACTAAAAGGCTGCATATGGGAGGAGACCTGTAAGATCGAATTGCTAGTGATGACAAAGCTGCCTTTGTATAATATAAGTGTATTCTGTAATGTTTGCATATTGTACAGTGATGCACTTCTCATTGTGACTTGTACTAGAGTAAGTTAAACTGCTCTAACTTGCTTTAAAAGGTATATGAGGGTCTGGAGAGACGGCTCAGTGCTTAAGAGCACTGGCTGCTCTTGAGGAGGACCTGGGTTCAGTTCCCAGCACCCACATGGCAACTAACAGCCATCCTTAACTCCAGTTCCAGGGCATCCAACTCTTCTGACCTCCATGGGCATTGCACAATATAGGTACACTTACATATATGCAGGCAAAACACTCATACACATTAAAAAAATAAATAAATCTAAAAATGTAAATGTGTAAGTTCTATTGATGGCTATATGAGATAAAGCATAAGAAACATTGGCAAAGGAGGATGTTCTAGAGAGGTGCTCACCACACAATTATCTGATTCTTTTGTATGCATAAGATTTTTCATAAAAATTTTTGCCAGAAAAATGCAATGTTCTAGAAAAAAATTATTTACTCTATGCTCCACAGGTAGACCATTTTCAGAACTATAAAGCACTCACCTAGCCATCCAGATCCTGAATTCGGTATGCACAGGTCAGTCTCCGCACTGGGTAACACAAAGCCCACCACAAACACCTCCACACCATCTGCCATGAGTGCCATGCCCAGGACGAAGAAGAGGGCCCACTGGAACCGGCCATGGCCACATTCCTGGATGATCAGCTCATACTGCTGGGCCAGCTCTTCCTCATCGGCTCTCCTCTCTGACTCCAGATCCCTGCAGTCCTTGTACTTGTCCGCCTTGGGCTGCCCCACAGACACTATGCTGTCCTTCCCTTGGTTCATGCTGGGAATGCCCTGGTATTCCCCTTCGTAGATCTCATCCTCTTCATCATGTCCTTCAGTGGCCTCACTTGAGCCCTCATCATCATTGGCCTCTCCACTGTAAGTTTCTCCTGGTGGATAGTAGTCATCATCGTCCTCTTCATCCTGGAACCGACTATAGGAGCGCTGGGTGTATTCATCCTGGGCCCTGTCTACTGCCTGGTTCACCTTCTTCACTGTTTGCTTCTTCACCTCTTTGGCAATGTCCTTGGCACCCTTCATCAGTGAAGTCCTATCCTTGTAGGAGTCTTCCATCTTATCTCAGCTGGTGGCCAGTGTGCAGAAGAGAACTCTTAGTGTTCAGCAGCTCAGCTGCAACAGCAACATCCACTCGAGGCTCAGAAGAGAACTGCACAAGAAGACCAGAGGAGAGCCACATTATTCCTTTCACTCCTGTCCTTTGTATGCCCTAGCTCTTGGGCTCTTTTTACTGCCCACATAAAGACAAAGTACTCTTTTCCTGCTGATCTCACACACCCAAGCACCACATGCGGATTCTCTGCTCCAGTGTAACCAGCACCTGGAGTAGGTAGCTAGGATTTTGATTGTAGTTTTCTTTTTAAGGAATTTTGTCCCCAGGGCAATGTTACTTAGGTGCTCCATGGAGAATGAAACCAACTATCTTACATCTTTTAAAACACATACATCATGTCTCAAAAAGCTATAAGGATATATTTTGACTAAGAAAAATATTATTCACAAGACACACAAATACATACAGACACTGCGAAGGCAAAGCCAGAGTCTCAGAACTCTGCCAGACCTTTCCTCATACTAAGCAAAACCAGAAAACAAGTGAGCAGCTCATTGCCCAATTCTATCACGCTGTACTTACACTTGTCAAATTGCATTCTCCCCATCTCTGCTCTTACTATTGACAAATGATAACAAAGACTCATAAAACATCTCAAACAGACACAGTAGTTGTATCTATATGGTAAACTGGCAGAGTTCATCAAATGACTTTACTTAAAAAATATTGAATTAGAACTTATGGTTTGTTCAGTGGCATTTCCCTTTCAGAGACCACTCCAGCCCAGCCTGGACAGGAAAACCCAATGTGATGTGTCTTCACAACCCTACCCCCAGCCCAGCCTGGACAGGAAAGCCCAATGTGATGTGCCTTCACAACCCTACCCTGAAAAGCCTCCAGGCTTTATCTCTATGGCCTTCAAATCTAGATAGAGGCACACACACACACACACACACACACACACACACACACACACACACAATCTTCTACTTTGTCCTGCTACCACTCCATTTAGCAGCTGTTGTGATACCGCAGTCATCCTTGGCTTTATTTCTTATGGCTAACCCCCAACCCCATGTCTTAGCTTGTTAAAGTCACACTGACTTCATGATAACTTGGGATTTTTTTACCCACTGACCTATATTTTCTGGTGACTCAAATGACCCAATGTATCTCCTTATACATAGATGATATGAAGGTAAAAAAGTCTTGGGAAAATAATCCCATCATTATTTTCCTAAGCTCTAAACTCTGACAGAATTTTAAATATTTGCTTTATATAATGAAAATTTCTGGTTTTTGTCTTTTTGTATACAGTGAAAAATAGTAAGCAGGTATTACAATCATACGTTGAATGAGCATTCAAATGTCACAAGCAAACAGCAATATAAAGAGAAAGATGCCCTCAAGCATTTTGGATAATACTCAATTCTTAGTTTGCAGTTTCATTAAAGCAAAGATGTTTCATCATTTTTCAAAATAAAAGCAAATTTGAACACTTATTTTAAAAATCTTTTTAAAATAAAATATTTGTAAATGTGTCTACTAGAGGGGTATAGGGGAACCTCCAGTTTTCTTATAACTGCTTATAAATCTGCAATGATTTCACAATACAAGCAAACAAGTCTGGAGTGTCCTCATATGGCAGTCATGAGAAGTGTGCAGTATGCTGGACTACCAGAAGATCTATCAGGGGTAGTTATGCTTCTATGGCTATGAGCTCTCTCTGGTGCACTGAAAAATGCAAACGTTTGGCTCATTCCAAAAATAGTAAGGGAAATAGAAGATTGACATCTGTGTTAGAAGGTTGTTATAGTTTGGATATGAATTGACTCCCTAAAAGGCTTGGGTATTGAGACTTGGTTCCAAGCTAGGGGATCTGATCATAGAGAGCTGATTAGATAGATCATCAGAGCTCCCATAATCATGGCTAAATCCACTGATGGACTTACAATTTGACATCACTATTAGAAGTGATGGGATCTTTCGAAGGGTGGTCCTATTTGAAGGAAGTAGGTCACTGAGCTTGTCCTTGGGGGCTAGCTGTCTCAGCTTTCTCTCTCTCTCTGTCTCTCCCTGCTTTTGGCCCTCCATGTTCTTAAGCAAGTCTACCCTACCACATCCTTCCACTATCATGTTCTGCCTGACCACAGACCCAGAAACAACAGAGTCAATTCACCAGGGACTATAGCTTCTGAAACTGAGTCAAAAGACATCTTTTCTCCTTTAAAATTCCCTCTGGCATTTGTTATAATGATGCAGAGCTAACTAACACAAAAGTCATGTTTGGGTTAAAGGCAGCAGTCCTCAGGGTGAAGCTTAGCTACTAGGTATGCCCATAAGAAGGACCACAATCAACTGCCTACAACATCATCAATGTTCGCAGACAGTACACCTTTGTTTCAGAATAAACTAGAGTTATAACACATACTATGCATCAGACCCTGATGTGTTGAAAACCAACACACAGCTTGGAAGAGAGCTTAGTGATGAAATCACTAGCTGTACAAGCATGACCAAAGTGTGGATCCCCAGAATCCCAGTAAATGCAGGGCAGGTGTAATGGCCTTCTTGTAATTCCAGCTTCGGAAGGTGGAGAGAAGAACCCCAGTGCTAGCTGACTTGATTGAGAGACTCTGACTCAAAGAACGGTGGAAGAATGAGCAAGGAAGATTCCCAACATCAACCTCCAGCCTCTACATGCATGCACACACATGTGCATATGCACCTATACACACACATAGGCACACCACACGTATACACATGGGAAGAAGAAGAAAAAAAGAAAAGAAACCCAAACTAAAACAAATCTGCTTGGTTTAGTGCTTACTGTATACCAGGCTTTCTACTGAGCACTTTGTGTACACCCTTTTGTTCTTTTTCCTAGTCCTTTCAATTATACAAAGCAGATACAGTCTCCATTTTTCAGATGGGAATATTAAAGCTTAGTGAGATTAATGAGTCTAAGGCCACAGAGGCTGTTGGCAAAGCCAGGACTTGCTCTCAAATGTGTCTGAGCCCATACCTTGTGCCTGAGCCTTGTCGATTTCACCCAGTGCTCCCACTGGGGTCTCAGTAACAACTTCAGCCTACCTTCTATCCTATTGTTTTTCTGGGAGTGGTAACACACACACTTTATCTATCTCCCCAGCACTTAGGAGATAGAAGCAGGCAGATCTCTGTGAGATTGAGGCCATCCTGGTCTATATAGCAAGTTCCAGACTAGCTGGGGCTACAGGGATACCCTGTCTCAAAAACAAAACAACCCCCCCGCAAAAAAAAAAACCAGAAAAATTCTATTCTTCTGTTTCCCCATAGTGAAATTGTTTTACCATCTCTTCTCTAAATCATTCTGTGGGCTCTAAAATAGAAGGAACTATTGTAGTCTCTAGTGACAGCTTTATATAGATAGTAATTCCAAAGTACAATCTTGTTTATTCGCAAAATCTATCCCAATAGGGTGGCTGTCCTTCTAAAGATAATGTGTTCATGTTAAATAAGGTGCTAGTGACTGAGAGGGAGAAATTTAGGCAAAGGCTTGAAACTTTCACGACCTCCAAGGGGCACATGATAGCTCTTCTTTCTTATTCAAATCGGTCTCCTCCATGAAATAAAGGCAACTCTCCTGTAATGTTGTGAGGACTAATTGGCTTGCTGTTTACACTGTTTTTAGGACAGAATTAGATATATATGTAATCAGGATTCCCAGAAGCAGAGCCTCCCATCAGGAGCCAAATGCACATCTTTAGAAAGAGGAAGGAAACAAGAAAGCAGGGCAGAGGGACATGATGAGTAGAAGCAGAACCACAATGTTAAGCAAGGACTTTCAGCACAGTCCTGCAGAGGAACTTCAGGGAAGTCCTGCCTCTCAGTCATTATCCATTCAAATCCAAGGTCCTGGGCTCCATACCTGCCAATTTTCAGCTAGGGGACACCTGGGGTTCCTGGAACACAAATGTTTGCAGTTCTCTGCATAGAGGGGCAAAACAGCTCCAGTAGCTTGAGGAAAGTCCTCTGAAAAAGAGGAACAGGTGCTGGCTGACAAAGCACAGGCACAAAGAAAGCCAGGCTAGAAGTGCACATTAAAGACACCAAGAGTGGGAAGCAATGGACAGCATCTCCTCCAACAAGCATTTAAGGATTTTTGTTTATCGGCAGTGCTGGGGATCAAAACCAGGGCCCTGAACAAGTCAGGCAAGCACTCTGCCACTGAGCTCTAACTCCAGCCCCCACATTTTTGTGTAGATGCCCTGATCATCATGCTAAGTCACAGAACCCATAGTGAACTAAAACTGTATTTTGAAGAGTGATATTTAAATCAAATAGCTTTACATCAAAGGATATCTGATATATTCCATAATATGCACAACATGGAGAAAAGATTATATCAAATCTGGGCAGTACCACCCTGTAGCACACCCATTGTACTACTACCTTTTAGTAGAACTGGGAGCCTGTAATGGAAGTGAATCGCTGGCAGAGGGTGCCCCCCATAGAAATCATCCAGACTGTTTGATGATGCCTGATAGGCAGGATTGGACAGAGGGGCTCTTTATTATAGTAAAACATAGTTCCCAGGGGCAAGGAGAAGGGAGGAATGGGAGAGCTATCATTTAAAGCATAAAGATGAAAGATTATAGAGATCGATGGTGATTATGGTTGCATAATATGAGTGTACTCAACACTACTACTACTGACTGTACAGTTAAAGATGATTAAATCGCCGGGTGTGGTGGCACACACCTTTAATCCCAGCACTTGGGAGGCAGAGGCAGGCGGATCTCTGTGAGTTCAAGGCCAGCCTGCTCTACATAGTAAGTTCCAGGACAGCTGGGGACTACAGGGAGACCTTGTCTCAAAAAGACCCCCCCCCCAAAAAAAAAGATGGTTAAATGGAGAGTGTTACGTTTATTTTATCACAAAAATGCTGGGGAAAGTAAATTTCACATTCAGAAACTCTCTCTTTCTCTCTCTTTTACACACACACACACACACACACACACACACACAGCCGATATATTTATACTACCCAGAGATACTCCTTCTTAACAATCAGCACATTTAAATCGTGCAGCATGTGCACAGAGCTAGTTTAG